CCTCTTCTTCTTCTACTTCTCCTCTTCCTCCTCCTCCTCCTCCTCCTCCTCTTCTTCTTCTTCAACCTTCTTAAGTGCAAAATGAAGAAATGCTTTTTCTCTGAAGTCCATGCTTCATCTGCTTGAAATCAGCAGCATGGAGACCCAGCACACTGAGCCATGCACCGGCGTTAAGGCTGGTAGCTGATGCATTTACTCTAACCTTTGAGACTAATTCACAGCTTTGTACATGATGTCATATATTTGAGGCGTTGCTTATCGCTAGGAGAAAGGGTAACATGGAAGGGACGAGTTGGAAAGTATCCAGAGCATTATATCTGGCCAAGTTCTATGGCCCCAGGTTTTCCATTGTTGTTGACCTAAATCCCAGAGCAGATGGAAATGTTCCCGAGATCCATCTCCGTCTCCTGGAAGCTGATGGAGTCAAGGCTCTGTCAGGGTTCCCAGTTGCCTGTGTGTGCCAAGTCCTAAGCCCGGGTGGACTGCTTTGTCTTGACCCTCCCTGGAGCGGACACCGGCAGAATGGGAACAACCAAGGTTTCCCTGATGGGACCAGGAAAGCCGTGTTCAGCATGTGCCCAGACCCTGCAGTCAGAGTGAGTCAGACCACCTGGAGACACAGGTACCCTGTTTCCTAGACCCAAGAGGCCCTTCTGGAATGTGCTCTGCTTGTTGTTAGATAGAGGGGACTCGAAGGGTCTGGTCACTGTCGGTCAGCAGAACCTACGATGGCTTTGCTTACTTTCCCTTGTTTCTTCTTCTCAGGAAACAGCATCCTCCATTCAGCTGCTGACAGTGTGACCAGCGCGGTACAGAAAGCGAGCCAGGCCTTGAACGAGCGTGGGGAGCGCTTAGGCCGAGCAGAAGAGAAGACGGAAGACATGAAGAACAGCGCCCAGCAGTTTGCGGAAACTGCGCACAAGGTAAGCCCGGCAGGGCCAGGCTGAGCTCCCAGCTCTGGACTTGGCGGCACACTGGTGCCAAGAGGTACAGCCAGAATGCCCCTTAGAGGCAAGCAGGGCGCGGACTTCATCTCAGGTACCTCAGACGTGTCTTCAGGAGAGACCATTCCCTGGAGAAAGACATCCTGCTTGATAAAATCTAGGGGCAGCCATAAAAGAGGAAGGCTTCTGTGTTCGGCCAGGTTGGCTAGTGAAACAAATCAAGTGACATTCATAGATAGGTATATAGGAAAGAGCTTTAGATCAAGAAGCAATTACATCTCAAGAAGGCATCCCAACTTAAGTCCACGAGTTCAATGCTAGTCCATCAGTCCCTTCCCAGACTTGCTTAGCCACCACACCAGTGACGCAGAACAGTGAACCAGGAAACAGGGAGATCACCGACCAGTGGGTTCAGTCATGTGGATCCAAGGTCGGTGGCAACGCAGCAGGAGCAGGTGCCCCCCAGGAAGGTGGAAGGGCAGAGAGGTTCCGTTCCCAGAGCCCCTCGCTGTCATACAAAAGGCTGATGACATCCAGGAGCAATCACCAGGCTGCTATGTGATTGACAGGTTTGAACCACCCCTCACCAGGAGTGTCTAGTTGCCACCGCCTGCAACCAGGTGGATTGACCCAGGGGCCACAGCATGGGCTCAACCATGAGAACAGTTGTGAACATGGCACAGAAGCGGGTGGTATTTTATTCTGTTGCCGTTGGGTCGCTGTGAGTCAGAACCTACTGGACGGCACCTGACGACAGCCACATGGTGCCAGGAAGCTGTCTTGCAGCATGTTTGCCGTGAAGGGAAAGGCAAAAGCAAGCCTTCTTGGCCCTCTCACATCACTCCTATCTGCGACCCAACAAGCACCTGAACCTGAAAGATGCTGGCCTGGGCCTCTGATTACCTCTCGCATGACCGCATCCCTGTCTCTGACGGTGGATGTTTGGGAAATGGGGCCCACCTCTATTTTCCCGCCTAGAAGCTCAGGAAAGAAGAGGATAACATTCAAAGCAAATAAAAGAGGAAGAGAGGGGGTTTCCCTTGGCCAGTGCTGAAAAGAACCCGGAGAGGACTTGAGGACCTGCTTGCTTTCACTTGTTGCCCCGCCCCCTCCCTGAGCCAGCGTCCTGTGTTCCTGTCTCGTGGGTGCATGCAAAGCAAGCATGTCAGCCCAGGGCAAAGAGCACCCCATCTGCTGAGCGGTTATTATTTCAGGACCTTCATTTTGGAACCCCAAAGCTGATAGGGCTGGAGCTGCAAGATTCCCTCCTGCCTCAGAATTCGGTAGCTGCCATATCCCCAGTGCACATGGGCATTTGCACAATTATCAAGAGCAGCACCTTTCAGGGTGGGAAAGGGCACTTTTTATTGGCAGCCAACTCTCTGCAGGCTGCCACAAACCAAAGGGAAGAGAGGCCCCCCGAGATAAGGAGGATTTATTACTCTTCCTGTGCTTCAGATCAAAGGGCAGTTCTTTTCTGGCTAGAGATTCAAATTTCGGTTTCCAGAAACAAGGGCTCCTGGTGACTGGTGCTGGCCTCTTGTGGCTGTGACCTTCATGTGCTGTTCTGTTCGCTTTTGGAGGGGGTAGGGGATAGGAGGGGTTGCCCAATTCATTTGCTTCAACGGAAGATCCCACTTCTGCTGAGGACACAAAGCCACCTTGCTGGACGCCAGAGCCTCCCAGAGGGAGTGAAGCGCAGATGTGAGGTCCCCTTGCCCCTCCCTCTCTGCTTCAGCTTTTGTGTTTGCAGGGAGGAGGTGCTAGCACTCCAGAAACAGCAGCCCCTTGTGATTTAAACAGAATAGGCAAAGCAATCTGGGGGAGCATTTCACTGGCAGTGTTGGGGAAGAGAAGGTTAAGGGGAATAACTGGAGTCCTGTCTCCAAGTCTGGGAAGGGTGATGGTCCAGGTAGCCCCTGGCCTTGAACAATAGATAGTACACTGATAAAAGTCTGCTGAAGCAAGAGTCTAGGATAATGGACAAACCATGAGCCAGGCTGCCGAGGAAGGTTGCAAAATGACTCTTCCTACAGGTGGAGCAAACAATACTTGGAGGTCATCCATGTAGATCTCCCCCTCGGAGGGGATTGCATTGTGCAAACCCTGGGTTGAATAACCAAACCAGATGGCCAGAGTCTTTGGCCCAGCATCCTGTTTCCCTGATAGCATGACCAGGTTTCTTAGGAAGTTGGAAAGGCAATATGGTATAGTTTTGTCTTTATTTTAATCGTTTTATTCGGGGCTCATACAACTCATCACAATCCATACATACATCAGCTGTGTAAAGCGCATTTGTACATTCATGGCCCTCATCATTCTCAAAACATTTGCTCTCTACCTAAGCCCCTGGCATCAGCTCCTCATTTTTCCCCCCAATATGATATAGTTATGGTGATAAGCATCTGATGTTTGAATCCAGCTCTGTCCTTTACTAGCTCAGGGCCTTTGGACAAGTGCTTAATTTCTCTAAGTCCCAGTTTCCTCATCAGTACAGTAGGATTAATTCACTATAGTACCTGCCTCCCAGGGTGCTCAAAGAACTGAATGAGTTCAATCCTATCAACCTATAGGAACAGCACCAGGCACATGTACAGCTAAGTTAACTACCAGTGTGACGATGCCCTTCCCTGAGTTGTACAAACTGTGTTGGGCTGCTAAAATGGAAGGTTGGGATTTCTAAGCCAGCCCAAGTGACCCAATGGTCCACTTCTGAAAAGTCAGCTAACACAGTTCTACTGCTAAAATCAGAGTTCTACTCTGACAGGCATGAGCTCGCCACAGGTGGGGATGGGCTTACTGGTGACTGGTTCATAGTTACTGTTCCCATAAAGATAGTTCGTGCTGAGCCTCCCCTATTCAGTCACCATATGAGCACTGTAGTTTGGAAGTGTTACCGGTAAATGAGGGTTCCCCAGCACACGGAGAAAGAAGGATGGGAGGTAAGAGTTTTGAGTCTTTGAAACTCAAATGGCAGGTGGGGTGGAAGGGCCTTCTGCTCAAGGCCAACACTGTCGAATAGAGAGCAGCTCCTAAACCCAGGGAAAGGCCTGTGAGGTAGGGCCACAAAAGGCCCAGGGCCTGTGGACTTGACCGCTGGGAGAAACACATGGCCAGTTGCCTGCTTTCAGCGGAGAGGGCTGGGGCGGGAGAGTCAGGCTGCTTTGGTTCCCCGTCCTGCAGATGTTCCCGGGGCAAAGGGTAGAGGTTGAGAGTGTCTGTCCGTGTGAGAGACCAAGACCATGCTACCGCCACATTTGCTGGTTTCTAAAAGTGGGATGTGCACTTATGAATCAGCCCCACGCTGGCAGCCTTCCTCACGAGCAGGTTGAGCTCTTTAAATAAGATGTGGCTACTTTCCTGGGGACTTGGACTCCTGATTGGTGCGCATAGAGGCGGGGTTGACCATGAAACTGTCATTTCACTGGCCTAGAGGCCTGCTGGCACAGGGAGGCTCCCAGTGGAGCCCCAGGGCTCTGCAGACTCATACGAGTGGGCTGTGTTTGCAAAAAAAAGAAACCCCGCAGTACATGTGGTCATGTTCCAAGCTGAAGGGGACATTTCCAGGTGACAAGTTCTTGGCATTCCCTGGTGGAATGAGGGCAGGGCATCCAAACTCAAGTGGAGAGAGAGAGAGCAGGGCACACCTTTTCAGATCGCACTAGACAAGGACCTTTGGCCCTCTAGCTTTTCTCAGGACTCCCAGAGGACCCCAGGTATAGTAACCAATGGACCATTTTACATGACACGGACATCCTGGTGCTTGGGTGCTTTATCCCATGGAGGCGATGGAAAATGATCCTCCCCTCAACACCCACACACATACATGCACTCATGAGCACACATGCACGCACGCGCACACACCCTGCTCCCTCTCCATCTAACCCTGTGTAACGAAGCAGGGTTCCTTCCTGAGCTGTGGTCTGGGCACAGCCCCAGCCCTTCGGCAAGTGCAGCTGAGCCACGGAAGTGGGTCTGCTCGCAGCCTGGCAGAGTGTGCCGCACCCTGGCGGCCCCGCCACAGGCCGTGAGTCAGCCGGCAGCTCATCCTCCACAGCACGGCAGCCTCCGCGGGCATTTCTCACAGACAGGAGTGTTCATCTGCCATGTTCTGCAGACGCCTACATTTGTGTGGGAAGGAAGGGAGAGGGACATTTTTCAGCTCTCTAGAGGAGAGTGGCTGTGTCTGTCCCTGCTTGTCACAATGACAGGGGTCTCTGAGCCAGAAGAGCCCAGGCCGCTTCAAATGCCAGCCCCTGCCCCACACACACATGCACAGAGACCTCCTGTGGTAATGATAATGGTGGTATTATTATTGTGCAATAAGAATGCTAACCGGATATGAATAAGAGGAAGGCCCTCACGGAGGTGGATTGACTCCGTGGGGGCAACAGTGGGCTGTGACAGCAGAACACCAGCCATGAGGATAAGGCGGGACCAGGCACCAGGATGAGGCAGTGCTGGGCTCTGTTGCCACGGGGTTGCTATGGGCCAGGACCTGACAACAGCAAGGCCCCTGGCTTGTGAGGAAAGTGAGTGACGGAGCAGTGACGTCAAAGCACACAGGCACGCAGCTCACTTCTAGCAGGAGCGCAGCCGCACCAGAGCGGCAGGACCTTGTTTCATCCCGTGCTCTTCCTACATGACCACGCTCGCCTTCTGTACCCTAAGCCCCCTCATTCACGGGAGATTATTAAAAAGAAAAGAACTAGGTGACAGGCATAGGATGCTATTCTCTGCAAAAATACCTCAAAGAGAAAAACAGCTGTATTTGATTCCTGAGGGCTACCAAAACGAAATACCAAATTCAGGGTGGATAGGGTGCTTAAGACAAGAAACAATCATTTTCTCCCATTTCTGGAAGCCAGACATCCCAATCTAGGGTGTTGGAAAGGCCATGCTGTCTGTCTCAGAAGGCACCAAGGCAATGTCTTTGCTCTTTTGGTAACTGCAGGCATCCCTGGACTTCTGACAGCATC